CCCCCCCCCCCCGCTGGGGTGGGGGTGGAAGCTGGAGAGAGGGAGGTGACAAGAATCCCAGACAGGAATGCCACCTCAGGAGCAAGGCTGCCATCCCAGGTCTGCCTGCAGGGGCAGCACAGGCCACCAAGAAACAGGCCCGGGCCAGCCAGCAGTCCAAGATCCGGGTATTCCTGCCCTGGCTTTGACAGACAGCCACGCATCTTGGCTTTCTTTTCTGCCCGCGCGGCCCCTGCGCCTGCCTTTCCACCCTCCCCTAGCCATCACCAGAGTCGGTCCTGGAATTTCCATGACTAATCCGAGATTTTCCTTGAAATAGAGCCTGAAAGAATCTTCATTCACACGGGATGTGGGTCTGTATGGTGGGGAGGTGAGGGACATGGGGACATTCAAGATTGGCAGGACTTTGTGGAACAAGGTCTAAAGGCCTCCCACTGCCACAGAAAGTGGGCTTAGGAAGGGCCTCCAGTGCCCCGCCCCCCCATCAGACCCAGCCAAGTGGCCGGCCGCCAGCCACAGAGAATGTGAACAGTGACACCGGGTGAGGGGATGCGCAGCACATTATTTTTCTGCAGACAGCTGGCTCAAGAGGATTTAAACTTAATTTGTCTCTAGACTCAGCTGTAGAGGGAAGTGAGGTAGGAAGGCTGAGAGAGCCAGGCTGCGATTAAAATGTCACTTCAGTTCACCAAGAGTCAGCAGCACTAAAAATTCTGGTGGGGGCTCCTTCCCTCCCATTAGGCCACAGGGCCTGCCTCCAAAGAGCTGGAGATGGGAGGGGACGTGGGCTAGACTCACATTTTCCCATGTGCTTCAACTTGTCCCTGAATAAGGCATCTTCAGACACAGCAGGGTTGGCATCACTGGTTCCTGGAAGGAGGAGACATGCTGAGGAATGGGCCCCCTTGGGTTTCTCAGGTCCCACTGGAGAGGGAGAGCAAGCTGCTACCAAGGCCCTGTAGCTGTGGGTCAGGGCTATTGCAGCCCTATCCTTCCATTTTAGCAATGATGCAGGTTTCTTCCTTACCCAGGAGGGAGTTTAAAGCAAGGAGGATTTGGGGGGTTCTCCTTTCTCCGTGTAAGCCGTGTTTTTCCTCCTCTGTGAAAATGGGGGTACTCATGGTCTGCTGTATGTATGGAGAGCCAGATGAAACAGGGTCCTGACTATCCACTTCTCTGACAAATTCCATACTGTGAAGTCATGTTGGAAGTCTGAAATGAGCAGTGGGGGATGTTTACACTATGGGGGTCACCCAGCATTGCAAACTGGGCTGCCACTGCACACATTCAGCAGCTAACTGGGRGACTGCCTGAATCCTGACTTGGGTATGAGTCAAAGGAGAAAGAGCACAGCCCAGAGTGCCTGGGGAGATTCCTTTTGTCCTTCCAGAGTCAGCCTCTCCAGGACTCCCTCCCAGACACTTAGCAGGAAGGTGAATAGGGTTTGGCCAAGTTCGGAACTCAGCTACCCCTCAGAGATGCCCACTCACTCAGGTACCACTTGGGTCTCCCACAGTCCTTCTAAGCCACTGTTCTCCATCCTGCAACCTGGCTAATCCCAAGTCACCTTGCCTGCTAAGTCCCCTTTGAATCATTCTGATCCATCTCAGCAGCTCTGGTTTCTCTAGTTAATTCGGGATCAAGGACAAGAGGCTCCGTGAAAACTCCCAGATGCGCATCTGGTGGGGCCTAAGCTCCTAAACTGTTGCTTATGAATCAGTTCCGTGGGATTTTCTCTCTCCAAGCTGGGATCAGCTGAGCCCCACCCCCACCCCATTCCTGCACGCCCCACTCTACTGTGCCACGGAAGGTCTRTTCAGGCAAAAGCTGCTGAGGCTTTCTGTGAGGCAGGCAGTTTGTGGATGTGTGTGGAGYGGGGGTAGTGACTGACTAGGGGCCACTGTGTTCACAGGCACGGCATCTAGCTGTTGGGTGTGAAGGCAGGGCACTGGGCCTCAGCCCCACCTTCCTAGCTCCAGCTCAACCCTCTAGTCTGTGGATCCCGGCAGCACGGCTGCCCAGGCCCTCGTCCCCCTCAGCGTCAGGCCTCCTGAGCAGTAGGGCCTGGCCCTCTTTGAGGCAATTCCTACTTCTCAACCACCTTATACTCCAAACTCAAAATTTTCTTCCTTCAACACCAAGGGCATATATTTCCCAAATACTTAATAAATGAATGAATGAACCCTTCCCAGGTTAACCTTGCCCTCCTTCTTGGCGTACATTTGCTGTAATCGATAACATGTCCTAGCCTTGCTGGTTTGCTCCACCTATCTCTTGGACATACCTCCTTAMAAGACCATAAGCTCCTCCAGGGCAGATACCAAGCCTTAGAATAAGGCTGAATGGAGTGGGGCAGTCTGGGGTTGTGGCTTAGCGATAGAGAGCTTGCCTAGCACATGCGAGGACCTGGGTTCGATCCTCAGCACCACATTAAAAAATAAATTAAATAAAGGTATTGTGTCCAACTACAACTAAGAAATAAATATTTTTTAAAAAAGAATAAGTTTGGATCTTTCCCACACCCACTTGCTACCAAGGGACATTATGTGGAGTAGCATGTCCTCTGGAAGACACGCTCCAAGAATTAATTGGGAGTTCAGACAACCCATGTCACTCCCACAGCCCCTGGGTTAGTAAAGACCCAGGGCTGTTCAGTGAAGGGGACATCTCACTCCATGGCCCATGTGGAGGTGCAGCCAGAGTCATCCCCTCCAGCCTGCTGAGGGGCCTCAGGTCCCTTCCTGGGTCTATTTCCTCATCCTCCCCCAAACTCCAAATATTCAAGGCAAAGTTGGGGTGTAAGTCCTCCCCCCACACACACCCCCTCCAGGCTTCCCTCTCAGGAAGGCAAGGTTACCTGGGACTGAAGAGGGAAAGCCAAAGTCGTTTCCGACAGCCACRCTGCTGGATTTGGATTTCTGGGACTCATATTTCAATCGATCTGGAAAAGGACCACGTTCCTGTCAGGGCAGTTAGCTCCTGGGCTCTCCAAGGCATGCTGAGGCGACAGAGGCTGAACCCCCCAAATCACACACAAGKGCACACAAGAACACAAAATGTGCAAGCACACAACATGTTCCCACTCTTAAAGAACCAGAGACAGTGGGTTGGGGTTGTAGCTCAGTGGTAGAGCCCTTGCCTGGTATGTGTGAGGCACTGGGTTTGATTCTCAGCACCACATATAAATAAATGAATAAAATAAAGGTCCATCAACACCTAAAAATATATTAAAAAAAAAAAAAGAACCAGTGATAAGCCAGGTGTGGTGGCACATACCTATCATCCCAGCTAATTGGGAGGCTGAGGCAGGAGAATTACAAGTTGCCAGTAACTTAGTGAGACCCTGTCTCAAAATAAAATTAAAGGACTGAGGGGGTAGCTCAGTGGTAAAGCATCCCTGGGCTCAGTACCACAAAAAGGAAAAAAAAAAAAAAAGAACCAGCAATAATAGAAACTGCGGTCGACAACCATTTGGAATGTGACAATGTCAGAATTCAAAGGTCCTTGAGATGGTAGAGTCCAATGCCCCTAATATGAAAGAAAAGGCCCTGAGGCCTCCACCAGCTTGGCTGAGGAGCCAGGGCCAGCCTTCAGAACCGGTGTTCTGACGGCACAACTTGCTCCTCCTTCACCGACATGGGTCAGTCACACACACAAACATACACTCCCACACTGTGACCCTCACAAGACTACTTCCACAGCCCTTTCTTTATATGTCACCCTAAACACCATGCTATCCTGAAAGGATAAGGCAGCCAGGCTGGGGAGCAGGGCACCCCACCCACCAAACACCCTAATGTGCTAATGTCCTTCGTTCACAGAGCCTCCTACTCTGGCACCCATGRAACCAGTCACTCTGTTCCTGGGGCTCCAGACCCCTCATGTCTGCCCTGTGGCTGGGGCTTGGTGAGAAAGGCAGTGCTCTCGTCCCCGCTGCTGAATACACAGCGGATGTGCAAGGGGAGGGAGAGGCCTACGTGGGCACACCCCTCTCCTCTGAGTCCCAAGGTTCCCCAGGCCTCTGGAGGCAGAATTCCGGCCTCCCCCACGATAACGTGATGAAGGCCGTGCCTCATCAGCACAGAAAGCACCTGGCACCTTGGTCTCCATCCAAGCCCTTCCTGAGCCCCAAGGCTAAAGCCTTCGGTGCCTCGGCAGTGCCCACCTCTCTCCAGGGCGAGGAGGAAGTCACGGTTGCGCTGCAGCTCCTTCATGAACTCCTCATTCTGCAGGAAGAGCGCAATCCTCTCGTCTTCCAGGTACTGCTTCCAGCGGCTGTCCTGGGCCCCAGGCCCAGCCACGGAGGGAGGGCCTCCCTCTCCACTCACAGGCTTGGAGCCCCCGGGGTTACCCTGAGGAGAGGGCGAACATGCTGAATGCCCACTGACACATGTCCTTTCCCAGGATCCTCCAGCCCCACACCTCCCAACGGGACCTAATGGTCAGTCAAAATCCACAGGAACAGGTCAGAGCCCTTTCTGCTATGGAAGCAGAATGGTTTAAAAATGACTTTTCCTCCTAACCTTGGACCACCTCGTTCCTTCATCCACAACCTGAGTAGTCCTGAAAAGGATCTGCTGTTCAACAGCCCACCCAGGAACTCTCCAACTCAAACCTCTTCTGCACCATCCGCCTCAAGGTGAGACCCACCCACCACAGGGGCACCTTGAGACGTGCGAACACCTGGGGAGAAGCTGCCCCTGGGCCTTTCCCAAGAAAGGGGAGGGAGATACCTTGGCCCTCTGCCATTGACTGCCAATGGCTGTAGCCAGAAAGCCTCGCAAGCTCTCTCCCTCCCTGGGTCAAACAGGAAACCTCCTGGCCCAGACAGGAAGTGAGGCTTTTGGTCCAGAGTTCTTTTCCTACAAACCCAAGGCAACAGAAATATCTCAGCCTGGGCTTAAAAACTAGGAAGCAAAACTGGCCAGCACAAATTGTGTGGGCAAAGAGAGACACTGGACAGGCTGGGGGCATGGAGGGTGGGGACAGATCATTACCTGTATGCTATCCAGCTGCTGGGGCAAGATGCGGAGAAAGTCATCAGGGAGGTTGCCCAGCAGTGGCGGGTTCCAGTTCCGATAGCGCCTCTGGCTTGCGGAGGGTCCAGAGCAGAGTACGTCAATCCTGGAGAATGGGAGGTGAGGGAGCAGTGAGGCCTAGCGACAGGGGCCCTAGCCCACCATAACAGATCCTCAAGCAGGTGGGATCCTAATCAGAGATTCCAGCACCTTCCACTGCCTCAGAACAAAGCTGGTACTCTTTCTCTCATCAGTAGCCTCAACTGACTCCCAGGCTGTGGCTGGCAGTCATTGCTCTCCAGTCACTCAGTGACTTCACAGTCCTAATGCAGATATTGTGTGCATTAAGTGTGCTTCTGTGAATGGTTCCTAGAGAGGCAGGAGTTCTACCCTTCTGTGCTTATATCCCTAGCATCTTACACAGTGCCCAGCTCTGGGTAACAGGTATGGTCCAAATGAATAGATGCAAAAGCCACGGCTTGCCTGCTCCTTGGTTTGTTGGGGAGGGGAGACTCCAGAACCCCCAGGGACGGGGGAGGGGGGGGGAAGCAGATCTGAGCTCCCATTCTGGCTCAGCCACAAGCCAGCAGGGTAGTCAAAACTCATGAGCTAGTTCTTGAACAACTTTCTGAGAAGTTGGAGATGCCAGTGGAAGATTCTTGTTCCCAGGGACGCTCAGAGGCCACTATTCCTAAGCAAGGTGTGTGGCGGGAGGTCTGTGCCAGGGCAGAGGCCAGCGGAGAGGCAGGGGGCATGAGAGGAAGAGAGACGAGGCCAGCGGCCTCCCTGACCCCCAGCCTCCTGCTCTGACGCCCATGCCTGAGGGCAGCCTGGAGCCGGGCCAGGAGCTCCCCACAGCTCTTCGGCAGCCTGCAGCGTGGCAACCGCAGGACACGTGTTCTGCTGAATCAGGGAAATGACACACTGCGAAGGGCTCGCTCGCTCGCTGGGGCTGGGGCCTGGCTTTGATTTGGCCTCCAGCTCCAGGAATCCCGCCCGCCCCCTCACTGGAGGGGAGCTTTTCCGGGCTGCAGCTGACTGTGGAAATAACTTCCTTTYCTTTTCTATTTTGGGCGGGTGGCCGGCGGGGGCAGGGGAGGGCGGGGGCGGCAGCAGACAGATAGCCAGCTGCTAAGTGCTCGGTGGAGCTCGGTGCGCTCAGCCGGGAGCCAAGGGAACCCAGAGCGCCGCGCCGTCCACCCTCTCGCTGCACCGGCGGCGGTGAGGGAAGCCTCAGGGAGGAACCCGCATCCTAACCGGGACTCCCCTTGCTAGGCCAGGATTCCTTCTACATCACTCCACCACCGTCTGCCCCGGGGGCAGAAGCTCCATTTCCTTCCCCAGTCCTGAAAGGCAGGGAGAGGATGCCCCATCTCTCAGGGCCTGGAAGGCCACCTCCAGCCACAGCGGACAGAAATCCTCTCTGGGGTCATTTCCCTTCCTTGGGTCTCAGGATCTTCATCTGGAACACAGGTGCCCAGCCCTAACTCAACCACACCTCCAAGTCATCCAGGAAAGCTGCAGGGGGAAAGCCCAGAGTTCTATCTGGACCCCCTTCCCCAGCCCTTTGTTACTAAGATATCCAAATGGGGTGGGGGGCGTGGTCAAGGTGGAGGACCCCTGTATTGTTTTCCTTGTTGGGGTCCTGGAGGAAGGACAGACCAGCCCCCTCCTGGCCCTGGCCCTRGCAGAGATGAGGTCAGCCCATAACTGCTGGGTTGGGGAGGTGGGGGCATGGGCAGCCCAGGCAACGCCACTGTGGTCAGAAAGGAATGTCAGAAATGAGCTGAGAGGCAAATGAATAACTTCCAAGGCTGTAATTTCAGTGGAAAAACAACAGGCAGCAGCCTGTGTGGTGGGGTCCCCTGGGCTCCAGAGACTTGCAGACAGATGGAAGGAAGGACAGGCGAGGGGGAGGGGAAGGAGACTGAGGCTGGGGAAGATCTCCTGGTGCTGAACCTCTAGTCCCCAAAACTAGACACCCCCCACATACACATTCCAGGTTAACTCACAAAAAGTCAAACCTGGCTGAGAAGGATTGCCAAGACTCGTCTCCCTGGCAGGGTTTTGGATGAAGCTGTACACTGAGGTGCATAGTGCCTATGCCAGGACAGAGAGGTCGTCCAGGCAAAACCAGGGTGCAGGGCTCTGGGCATTCCAGGCTTGCTCCCCTGGATGGCCCTGCCTCTCTGGGTCCAGCAAAGCAATATTCAAGCTCCCAAACTCCACCCCATCCACAGGCTCTTAGGTACCCAGTGACAAGGTGGCAGAAGGGAGCCAGACCATTTGCCTCTGAAAGTCTGATCTCCCTCAGAGCCAGGGGGAGATTCCTAAAACACAAAACTGGACCACACACCACTCTTCAGCTGAGACCCTTTCAGGGGCTCCCCACGGCTGCAGGTAAAACGAAAGCTCCTTAGAAGGCCAGGAGGCCCCTAAGATCTGCTGGCTGGCCTCTGCAGGCTCATCCAGCCATGTGACACTTCCAGGAGTTCCCTACACCCCCTCTTCCCTGCCTCCAAGCCTGAGCTGTTTTCTTTTTCATCAGGCTAGGGCCAAAGTGAGTGGCCTCGGGTCATAGCTTGAATTGCAGTTCTTTCAGGCAGCCTTTCCACCCTGTTTCGGTGGCTCCCCTGGAATCTGCTCTCTTATGGGGTAAAGGGACAGACCCACCCAGATCCATCCACTGACTCCTCACCTCCCACCCCAGCACAGCCTGCAGTTTCTGGGTATCACTTGTGATAGACCCCATCTCTGCTCTTATCCCTAACTCAAAACACCAGCTATTCCCCACCCTATAACTTCCTACCACTCCATCAGTTCTCTAAGCTACAGTCAGAGAATTCTCATTAGGGAGGCAACGGCACACAGCAGTAAAGAGTAAGTAGCTTTGAAGTCAGAAAGAAATGATCAGGGCACAGTGGCACAGGTCTGCAATCCCACCCAGCTACTGGGGAGGCTGAGACAGGTGGATTACAAATTCAAGGCCATCTTGGGMAACTTAGTGAAGCCCTGCCCCAAAATAAAATCAAATAGAACAATTTGAATCCCAACCTTGAGTCTTGGGGAAGTTTATTAAGTCTCTCTGAGGCYTAGTTTCCCTCTCTGTAAAATGGGGGTAATGACAGTGCCCACCTTCTACGTAGTTAGGTAAAAGAACGATACCTGTTCTTATTAGCTGTGCCTGTACAATAACACAAGTTCTCCACCACTGGTCTGGGGTTCCCAAGATCCCCAGACGGGAAGATCCACTGTGGCAAGTCGCCTTTCCTCCTCCCCCACTCCCACCCCCTGCATTATTCTAAGGAACAGCAGCCTGAGGTCCAAGAGACAACATCTGGGCTCCAGGAAGCCCACCACAAACATGGAGCCCAGAAAAACAGGGTCCTAGACCCATGGGACCCTGTTGGTAGYCTACTTCATTTTAAGCTTCCAAATCACAAGCTCAAACCTGGAAGAAGTCTCCAGGGACCCCGAAGACTACTCTCCTACCTCCAGTTATCAAACTGTCCGAGAAAGGGARACATGCTCCTATTGCTTAAAAATCCCCACAACACCCCTACCCTGGGATGACAAACCAACAGCCATTCTATCAGTGACTGATGACTAGTTGGGGGTGCTGTGTTGAGGAGGATGCTAAGGTTCTGTCTTGACTCAGCAGGAAAGTACATAGTAATTAATTAGTAATATTTCTATGAGCCAGGTGTGGTGGCACATGCCTCAGCTACTAGGGAGGCTGAGGCAGGTAAAAGTTGAGGCCAGCTTGGGCAACTCAGCAAGACTCTGCCTCAAATTAAATTAAAAAGGGCAGCACTTGCCTAGCATTCATGAGGCCCGAGTTCAATCCCCAGTATTGGGGGTGGGAGGAAGTAATATTTTCAAGGGCTCCAGAAGGGAAGTGTCAATATGTGATTCGTGTGCTCTCCCTTCCTACTCTGCATGTACCTTGAGAATAAACTCCCAGAAAGCAGAGGTTAAGCCATACTTAATTGTGTCCCAAATAGTAGGGGACATGCTACCTAGCCTAGACTAGGAATTAAGTAAATGTTTGCTTATACAATCCTTTTTTTTTTTTTAAAGAAAGAGTGAGAGAGAGGGAGAGAGTGGGAGAGAGAGAGAGAATTTTAATATTTATTTTTTAGTATTTGGCTGACACAACATCTTAGTTTGTATGTGGTGCTGAGGATCAAACCCGGGTCGCACGCATGCTAGGCGAGCACGCTGCCGCTTGAGCCACATCCCCAGCCCAACTTATACAATCCTTATACTTGGAAAGTTCTCCTTGGTATCTAGCTACAATGTTTCTTGCCTGTCCTTGGTGGATTAATATACTGAGAGGCCCAGTCAAGCTTCCCTGTCCCTTCCCTGCTCCCCTGCACTCAGACAAGCTGGATTCTCACCGGGGAGGTGGAGTGGGGGGAGCGAGAGGGTAAGGCCTGTCGAACATGTGCATGTGGTAGGCCGGCGGGGAGTACACAGGCGGGGGCTCTTCATCGGAGCTATCAGGTTCCAAAGTCCTTTCCAAGATCTAAATCAGAGACAACAGAGAAAGAAATATTAATAATCCTTCCCTGAATTTAAATGGCATTCAGACAAAACCAAGAGTGGGTGAGGACTGCTTATAAGGAACTCTGTGTATTGCTGGTGGGAGCGTGAATTGATCCGACCACTTCTTTGGAAAACTGGCCTTATCTGCTAGAGCTGGACACAYGGCTACCCCTGCCCCTACTATCCCAGGATCCTCAGCAGACATGAAAGTACATGTACCCAAAGGCCAGGTCAGAGCGGCACTAGCCATCCAAGTCAGGTTCAAGAACTGGAAAAACACACACAGAAGTTACAGCAGCAAGAACTCTGTGAGGTGGCTAAGGAGGGGAAAGGGCACCAGGGGACTCCCAGGGGCACTTAACCACTGAGCCACAGCCACAGCCTATTTTGTTTTCTTCTTTCTTTCTTTCTCTTTCTTTCTTTCTTTCTTTCTTTCTTTCTTTCTTTCTTTCTTTTTCTTCTTTTTTCTTTTTTAATTTTGAGACAAGTTCTCAAAAGCTTGCTAAGTTGCTGAGGCTGGCTTTGAACTCAGTCCTCCTGCCTCAGCCTCTCAAGCCTCTGGGATTACAGGTATGTGCCACTGCACCCCAAGTTGATGATGTTTCTTGATCTAGACTTCACAGAGTTGCTGCGTGCTGGAACTTTATATCCTCTTCTTCTTCTTAATTCTTCCTTTTTTTTTTTTTTTTTTGGTACCAGGGATTGAACTCAGGAGCACTCTGCCACTGAGCTACATCCCCAGTCCTTTTTTGTATTTTATTTAGAGACAGGGTCTCACTGAGTTGCTTAGTGCCTCACCATTACTGAGGCTGGCTTGGAACTCTTGATCTTCCTATCTCWGCCTCCCGAGCCCCTGGGATAGTAGGCGTGCACCACTGCACCCTGCCCTGTATCCTCTTCTTATGCATGTGCTGTGTGTCTTTTGATGAGAACATCATTCACATCCTTCTCAAAGTACTTCCACATCTGTTATCTTAACCTCAGATTATGACACCCACTTTATAAATGAGGAAACTGAGGCCCAGGTTGACTAAATGACATAACAAAAGCTACCCATGAATCTTCAACTTGGATCATGGACTCCACAGCCAGAATCTGAACACCCAGGTTGAATTCCCAGGATGGACAGGGCCCAGATGCCTGCTCTCCCTTTGAACTCTTCTCTTTATCCAGGAGTGAGAAAGAGGGCAGGAAAAGGCCCAGGGTTGGGCAAAGGCTGGGTTCTGTTACACAGACTGACCCAGACCTTACCCCTGAGGTCCACAGAGGCATTTGGGGCAGATCCCTCAGCATACACCCCAACTGGCTACTCCTCAGCCTCCTGCTCCTCTCTCTTCCTCCTGCTAGCTCTTTTTTCATCTCCTCCAAGACCAAGGAAACTGGGAAGGGCTCTGAGGCTGTGAATCAGCCCAGAATCGCCAGGCCTCACATTTACCTCCAAGTGAGTTTGCAGAAGTCATCCGTAAAGCGGCCTCTGTTTCTGCCTCTGCAGGTCTGGGCTGGGCTGCACTGGCTGGCACATCTCTACTCTAGACCAGCCATGTTCTGCACGCGGAGCCTCACAGGGACACCTTGGCAGCGAGCATGCATATGTGAGCACGCACACACACTGCAGTGCTGTGCGCGCACACAGCCAGACTGACCCAAGGCGGCCTCCACCCTGGAATGCACTAGCGTTTCTTCTTTTGAGGCAGAAAGTATTTAAACAGATGCTTTTGCAGGAAAAGAAGAGTGTAGCTGCTCTGCAGGCCACTGCTTTGCTTACCCCAGATTTTCACAAGGGAGAGAGAGACAGATAACAAACACTCAAGGGCTGTTCCTGTTCACTGACAAATCTCTGATGCCTGGCACAGGGTAATRGCTTCACAAGAGGACCTGCTGCTGCCATGCTCAGCTCACACATCCCATTTCTCAGACCCCTCTGCTCTGCGCGATCCAGGCTGGGGCTTGGCCTGGACTATCCTAGCTGAGACTGGTCTCATGAGATAGGTGAGGACAGGAGGAGGGCTCAGGGGGACTTTTCCCAGAAGAAGCCACTTGGGTTTCCTTTGGCTGTGGCCTGCAGCAGTCAGCCCCCCAGACGTAGGGAGCACAGGCTCCCGAGCCCCTCCAGCTCCATGGTGAGCTTCCTGGGGCAGCAGGCCCAGCCTTGCAGAGGCTCCTGGAGAGGAAATGGGGCTATGTGGAGCCCGGAGACAGTGGGCCCGGCAAGCTCCAGAAAGGCAGATCCCCAGCCCACAGAGAGGACTCCCCGTGCCTCCCCAGCCTCCCCTGCTGCTCTCCTCCAACCCCACTAGTCACAGGAGCTAGTTCTTCTGGCTCTGAAGGTGATGGGTTTTCAGCTCTGTGGCCTCCTGGCTTAAGTCATTGTGGGTGATGGATGCCTGCCAGGTGCTCTGGGGAGCAGGGTCTGGGCCATTTATCTGACAGGAGATATTTCTCTGTGGCAAGGATACCCCTCGGGCCAGCCCACCATCCATCAGCCCCCAGAAAGGGGGCTTTTTCCAGTCAGCAGTTATTGTCATTCCAGCTGCTGCTCATAAATTTTCTGCAGCACTTTCTGCTGGCTCAGGAGCTGCCTGCTGATGGGCCCAGGCAGAGCTGCAAAGGTAGGGGCTAGGGAAAGAGCCAAGGAAGGGCAGGGGTGCTGTGCAGGGGCTCCACGGAAGGGCAGGGGTCTTAGAAAACAAGTGAACACAGAGTGCAGGCAATTTGGGGGCTGGGAAAGCCATGCAGAGGCTCACCAGGGCGGTGCACTGTGGACGAGAAGGAAGCATCCTGCCTGCCTGCCTGTCAGGACAAATGGCGCTGTAGAAAGGGTCAGAGTTTGCAGGAAACTTTCCAACTTACACTGAAAAAAAAATGTATCTGTGCGCGCATGTACGTGGGAGCACACACACACACACACACACACACACCCCTCCTTTCCAGTAGCTAATCAAGGCAGATCAAAGGAGTGGTCTCCCCTGGGAAAGAGATGATAGAAAGCTGGGCGAAGACAGCAGCAACGTTTGCTCATTCAACAAACATTCCCTGTGTGTTTGTTGTGTGCCATGGTGTTGCAGGTGATATGGGAATAAACATCACTGTCTACACAATTTCTCCTCCACTGGAGAGAGAGGAACTTCAGGGGCACCCAATAAAAAAGGGGGAAGCAAGGAGGATGACCTGAAAGATGGAGGTGTTTGATGGGGAACAGGTGCCTGCAGGGCTCTTGAGGACTCTGAGGCCATATCTGGGTTGTAATAATGCTCCTCACAAAATGTGTGTGGATTAGAAGAGAAAATACCCCCAAAACATCCAGGATGGTGCCTGGCACAGATTCAGACTCAATAAAGAGTGGAGTTAAGTCCCATCTTACATGTCCTCCTGGGATGCCCCTGCAGCAGTGACCCTCTCACTGACAGACTGCGTGCCTTGCCCCTTCTGCAATGAGCACTACAGATCCTTTGGAGACTGGGTGGGAAGACAGATGTGCGCTGAACTCCCAAAAGAGGCTGGAGAGGGCCAGACACTCCCAGCAGGTGGGCTTTGATGTATTGTGGCGGTCCTCTCTCCCCAGTCACTTCCCTGGACAGCCAGGAGCAGAGCTGCATGGGAATGGCTCACCACCACCTCTGTCCTCAGGGGGACGGAACTGGCAGATCTGAATGCCATTCTCCCTCCAGGCTGCCTGTGCTCTAGGGATCCAGCTCCACTCTTCCTCAGCCTCAGAGACTTGTGGCCTCCACAGTCAGTCTCTCTCTCTCTCTCTCTCTCTCTCTCTCATCCTGACATGGTCCTGGGGCCACTTCCTTAGCCAGTCATGCACTCTTTACCCATACATCCTTTCCGGGCTCTTCAGGCTTCCTCAGGGTATCAGATGGGGAGATCAGCCTCCCTCCTTGCACCTCTCCCCTGTAGCACTCACCACTCTGGGCAGTCAATGCCCCACTCTTGCCTCCAGTCCACTCGGGGCTGTGAGTTCCAGGAGGGCAGAAACTTCCAGGGGTTTTACCACTGAGCTACAACTCCAGCCCTCTGTATTTTTTATTTTGAGACAGGGTCCGGCTAAGTGTCTTGGGTCCTTGCTGAGTTGCAGAGGCTGCTGGCCTCGAACTTGCAGTCCTCCTGGCCTCAGTCTCGGAGTCTCTGGGATTACAGGCATGAGCCACCACGCCTGGCCATGTTTGCATTTTTAAAATGAGCACATTGATTCTGATGACCAGGACCCCAGAATCTAGTACTGTGCCTGGCACACCCTGGGCAGGTGCTCAGCGTTGACTGCTTGCAGGATTTCTGCCCATAGAATAAGGCCCCTGCCTGACCAGACGATTCCGGGGGGGGGGGGAATGGAGGGCTGCTTGCTGGGTAGAAGTCAGGCAGGGGACTAACCCAGAACCTCCTAAGAGGTTCAACCAGGTGGTTGAGCTACAGGTGAGTTATGGCCGCGGGCCTACCTCGGGGGGAATGCTGTCCTCGGAGTCGGAGCTGTCCTCATAGGCGCTGCCGCCCCCGCCCTCCAGGTTCATCTGCAGCAGCTGGTCAATGGTGGCGTCCACGGCGCCGCTGTTGGCGCGCAGCACGCACTCGATGATGTCGTAGTCCATGTTGGGGAACATGGTCTTGAAGTCGTCCATGGCCTGGTTGAACTCCAGGCGGCGCACCTGGCGGGCGGGCCGGCTGTTGTTGAGCTCCTGGGGGGCCGCGCCGCCGCCCCCGGCCCCCGCCCCGCGCGCCCCCGCCGCGCCGCCGCCGCCACCGCCGCCACCGCCGCCGCCGCCGCTGCTCCGGCGGAACAGGCTGGTCATCTTGCCGAGCCGCGTGGGGAGAATGTTTCCGAGCGGCCGCGAAGCCCTGGCCGGTCCCCCTGCCGTCGGCCGCGGGCTGGCTCCTCGGCTAGGGCCGCTCACGCCTGCGCCTCCTCCGCCCCCCGGGCGTCCGTCTGTCCGGGATGGATGGGCGGCCGGCTCCGGGTCAGGAGTCTACCGGCGCCGGGCCCCAGGCGGCCCTCGGGGAGCGGTCGTCGCGGGGCGGCGGCATGCGGGCCTGGGCCGTGCTGGGGCTGGACCGCAGGTCATCCACACCACCGGAGCATCCTGCCCCCGGCTCCGCGGAGGGTCCCACCTGAAACGAGGGAGACAGTCAGGGTCAGGGGCCGGCAAACCTGAGCTCAGGGTGGTGGTGAACAGAGGCTATGAGAAAACGAGGGCAGGTTGGGACAACCTCTCTCCTGCTGGAGGGAGACCGGCTTTTGTGTTTTCTCTCCAGGGTGATTCTTAACAGCCACGGGACACCGGGACACSGGAGAGCTTCAGTTAGCAAGGACTTCCTTTGTGCCAGGTACCATCCTAGTGCTCTGTGTGGCCTAACTCATGACAACACTCGGAGGTAGTGAGGCAGACGCTAGCATCCCAGTTTTGCAGATGGAAACTCCAAGGCATTGAATAAAAGGACTGGAAGCAGAGAAGCCAGGATTCCAACCAAAGTCATGTACCACCCCCGCCCCCCCCACCCCACTCCCCCACCCCAAGCCACTAGTCTCAACCACTACACATACAGCCAAGGACCCCTGAGGACCCAGCTAGGCCAGGAGGGGCTTTGTATAGGTGCCTTGCCCCTCTAGTTACTAGCCCCAACTAGTTGCTGCTTTCTTCATCTTGCCACCTCACCACCATACATCCTGGTCCCACCACCAGGGTGTTCCTTGTGCAGARCCCCCAAAGAATCCTGAGAACTCCCAGCATCACCAAGAGCTTCCAGCCTGAGAGAGAAAATGTCATGTTCATCCTTAAAGACCCTGGGGCTGATGGGGAGCCTGCTCCCACTCTTGGAGCGATCATATCGGGCCCTAAAACTCAGCCCTTGCCTCTGAGAAATACCAKCCCAACAGAGGGAAGCACAGGGCTCCAGGCCAGAGTCCACCCCTGGATTCATTCTCCTCATCCCAGTGTTACACTGACATGTTTCATTTATATCAGAGAGGCAGATTTGTTTTTATGGAACACTGTGTCCCGATTTCTTACAAAAAAAAATTTTATAGAAGTATCTTCTCAAAGTTATCTTGAGGAACCAGGTATATCTCAAGTTCTATTCTTATCCCCCCAGGAACCAGTTACCCTGACCCAGCCAACCTGGCCTTTGGTCTCATGCCAGGAGAGTGTATCTGAGGACATGGATGGAGAGGGGGACTGAAAGTCAAGCCCGCTCAGGACCAGGCATGTAAATCTCTGCCAGTGTCACACCCTGTTAGTGCAGACAAGGGAGAGCAGAATGTGTCTACAAACATCAAGTTCTGACTCTCCTTTTTTACCTCAAGATTTACAGTAATTTTGTTAATTGTAGAAAAGTGGCAGCTCTTTTAAGGGACTGTTCCATCAAAGGATATTCTTTTTGTTTGTGTGTGTGTGTATATGTGTGTGTGTGTGTGTGTGTGTGTGTGTGTGTAATGAGGGATTGAACCCAGGAGTGCTTAACCACTGAGCCACATCCCTACCCCCCCCCTTTTTTATAATTTATTTAGAGACGGGGTCTTGCTAAGTTGCTTAGAGCCTTACTAATTTGCTGAGACTGGCTCCTGCCTCAGCCTCCTGAGCCACTGGAATTACAGGTGTGCACCACTACCTCTGGCCCAAGGATATTCTTAAATTTGATGAAACAGGTGCAAAGATCAAAGGGATCTTCCTTACCACTGTCTCAACATCACATGGCTGAAAGTGTGACAAACACAAGACCAGAGGGGCGCAGGAAGAGCTTCTCCACCCCAGAGTCAGAAGACCCATGGATTCCCTATTCCTTTAGGTCATTCCCTGTAAGTTTGTTGGGACCTCATACTCCACAGGTGGCTTCAAGTGCACCTTGCTGAGGTTCTYAAAACCTTAACACCTCTGCCTCCTTGGAGGGCTGGGAAATTGTCTAGGGCTCCTGTTCTGGTGTCTGCCTAGTCCCAGAGAGATGGGTTGTATTTGAGAACAGAAAACTAGAGGCACATGGACACCRAGGTTAGGAGACTGAAGTCCTCTCCCACCAGGAGGAGACTTGTTAGYATAATCCTGTACCTATGTGTAGGTATTTGTTACTTGCATATACTACCCTGTGTCTGAATCTATTTTACTAAACTCTGATCAAACCATAAATCCTACCATGCCTCTAATGTTTTCTACTTAATAGTGCACTGTGACCATCTTCCCATGTCAGAAAATACAGACCTACTTCATCATGCTTAATGCTTGAATGGTGTTCTGTTAACTGGGTGAAGCATGATTTATTGTCCAACTCCCTCTCCCCAACCTCTTCCGAGGTGAACCAGTCACAGCCCAGGAATCCATCACCATTTCACAAGGGAAAAGAGAGATGCAAGCTCAAATGATCAGCCTAAGCATTCAGTTATGAAAATGCACACAGGAAGTCAGCCCAGTATGACATGGCTTCCTACGCCGGCTTCAGACACCCCAGCCTCTTGATATTCCCCACTCATCCCATCACATCAGAAAGTCAGGGGATGCTGCTGTGGTTTTGCCAAAATGCCCTCTTGGCAGACACTTTTGCCCTGCAGCCTCTAACACAGACCTCTGTGGGTCAGAAGGCCCTGAAGCTAATGCCCTGGTCATCACACATAGGGGTCACAGCGTTATGTAAATGCCTCTGGAGTGAAGCCACTATCTCCCTGCTCCCTAGTAATCAGTAAGAAGGTTGGGGGACCCGACTCTCGCTTTGCTAAGGGCAGTACCCCAGAGGAGGCGGCCAGGATCTGGCCCACCCCCAGAAGAGGAAGAAAGAAAATGGTGAGGCCCACATTTTCTCCATTAACAGCCCCCTGGACAGGTCCCTCAGGCTCTGGCCCCCTTAGTGTTGAGAAGCCCCTGAGAGGCACTCAAGAACTCTCCCCTCAACAATGAGCAGGCACTGGTTCAGACCCAGGCTACGGTTCACGCAGCAGTGCCACTCCCCAGCAGCAGGGTTCGTATAAGTCTCCTGTCCTCTCTGTGGCCCAGGACCTGTCTCCCTCATCTGCCTGCAGCCCTGAGGTGGCTTCAGTGAGAGTGAAGCAGCACCGGGCATGGAATATGGCGAGATGCATTCTCTGCCCCGGGAGGCTGCTGAAGAGCCTGGAGCAGTTGGTGTGCTGGCCAGGATGCTCCCTGAGGCACATGTTTGCCGGCTGGAAGGGGGGTTCTTGGGGAGTCTTCCCCACCATCTAGATGTGAACCCCTAGAATTCCTTCTGCTCTCTGCAAGGAAATGTGGCGGGGAGGCCTGGCTGGCCCGGGCAGCCAGAGACACCACGGTTCAGGCAGCCTCTTCTTTTACTCCGGGTGCAAAGCCTTGCGTGTGGGCCATGACCTGTAAACAGTTGACAGCAGTAACCCAGCCTCACACCCCCTCTCCGTGTTAAATGGCAAAGCCTCAGCCTGTCCATCAAAGGGCAGGTGTGTGGATGAGAGGAGAGAGGTCAGAAACAGCAATGGGAAACATAGGGAAACTGGGTTTGATTCTTAGAAATACCATCTCCACAGACCCCTGCAAGCACTCAGAGACTCCCCAAAGCAGGCTGCCTATGGTTAGACTGTGAGGGCCCCCCCCCCCACAATTCTCAGAGGACCGTTCTATCTCCCTCTTGTTAAGCTTGAGCCACAGTTGGAGCCAGATCTGGAGGCGAGAGCTGAGTGTGTCTAGCCACCGGGAAAGGAGAAGGACTGTCCTTAAGGCCAGTGTCATCYGTGCATGCAAGGCCCAGGATGCTCAAACAAGAAGCAATGTTAAGCACTGCTCAAATAAGAAGCAATGTAAGCCAGGCCTGATGGTGCACGCTTACCTGTAATCCCAGAAATTTCAGAGGCTGAGGTAGGAGGATTGCAAGCTAGTGGCCAGCCTCAGCAATTTAGTGTGGTCCTAAACAACTTAGTGAGACCCTATCTCAAAATAAAAAGGGCTGGGATGTGCCTCAATAGTAAAGTGCCCCTTGGTTAAATCCCTAATACCRAAAAAAGAAAAAAAATTAAATACATGGAAAAATTAAGGCATGCAGGTAACCTAGGTTTACAAGCTTGTGCCAGGCACTGTCAGTCTTTTTTTTTTTTTTTTTTGGTAGTGCAAGGGCTCCAACTAGGGCTTTATCACACTCTGCCACTGAGCCCCAGCCCCAGCCCCTGCATGTAATCTTCATTACAACTCCACGAGATAGGTGCTGTTGTCTCCACTTTAGGGCTGTGGAAACTGACTCAGATAAGCTAGGTGATTTGCCCAAAGTCGCACGGCAAGTCTGTAGAGAGACCAGAATTAACAACCTACTTCCCAAGAGCAGAAAATGCCAGGTAAGGCTGGAAAGGCTAGGAGCCAAGAGCCTGAGAAAGGCAGCCATGTGTGCTCCAGGCTCAGGACACTCCAACAGAGGACAGACAGCACAGGGGAGGGCTACTGGCTCGGGCCCCAGTCCTGGCTCTGTGACCTTGGGGAAACCATGCCACCTCTCTGAACCCCAGCTGCTGAGCACTGGCAGGGAACCAGAGGAGATAACCCCTGACTGGCTTCTGACAAAGGAAATGAATCAAACCTGCTGAGCCCGTTAGACCTCTCCACGGATGCATGGTTGTGGGTGACCTGAGGACCTGGAAGCAGAAACGTCACACCTGTCCTCCCCCATGTCCCAGGGAGCCAGTCTCCACCTCCCTGTGAAGGAATGCAGGCCTGGCAGGGGGCGGCACAGAGCCAATCTCCACTCCTAGTGTGGGTATCAGCCAAGCCTGAGTCACTCCCSGCCTGGCTCAGGGAGGTGGGCAGGCTGCCCCAGGGAGGCTCACCCGGCCTTGTCCAAGGTCAAACCAGGCAGCCTCTTCTTGCCTGAGGAAGGCCTTGGCATCAGGGCCAGGGTCAGGTCTGCATAGTGAGTTAGAGAGTCAGAGTCCTGGGCTCACATCTGACCCTGGGGAGGCTGTGCAACTCACTTGACTGCTCTGAACCTCAGTGTCCTGGTTGGTTGAAACAGGGATAAAATCTACCTGGAAGGAATACTGTAACGGAATTTACCTGGGTGCCTAGAGCCTCGTAGGCTCTCAATGAGACAGGCTAGTGTGGCCCAGGGGTAGGCCACACCACTCTCAAGCGATCTCACCCAGCCCCGCGGCCTTA